TATAGTTTTATTCTTTATATATATACATGCTTATAGTAAGCGCCATGATTATTTACACAAGTGTTAAACAACAGTTAGCGTCGTTACAAACCCTAATTTAGAATAATATGCTTTTCTTCAGAACGTTAACATGGAGATTCGCCGTGTTCGAGGGGTTTGCGCGCTCGCTTGGGAAGCGAGAGGTCTGGTGTTCAAATCCCAGTTAAAGCATTTTTTTTCAAATTGTTTAAGTCAAATAAACATTGGATTGAATATCAGTGTTGCAATTAGTCTTATAGCCAATCTACTACAATAAAACGCTGGAAAGCATTGGTGGCACTATACAAAAACAAATTGTTTTATAATCTCACAACCTTCACCTTTCTGACATTCTGAGACCCAAACAAATTCAGCGCCTTCTGTGCTTTGATTCTTCATAGTTTCATAGTTTTATCACGAGTGTAAGTATGATGGATAAATTACTGATTGATGAGTAAATATATCGACACTTGAGCTGTCCATCTTACGTAAATTACGTGATCAAAGCAACACTGTTTTAAAATTATATAAATTTTGATTTGGAGAGAGGGATAATTGGTTGGCTGGTGTAGGAAAGAGAAAAAAAACTGCACTCTTAGATGCATTGCAATGAGAAAATAATTTCATTATGGTAAACCTGAAGCAAGTCATTCTAGTTAAATACCTTTTCACGATATACAATGCCAAATTGTGGGCGGCAAAAATGTGCGGTGCTTGGCTGGCGATGTTGCTTGTACCTAGTTAATCTTTGTATTCATCATTATCGAAATCACATACTTCCTTGAGAATTCAGTTATCGTCACCTTCAAAATTATATCGATGTATGTGCCAAACGATTCTTTGTACTATTTTAGACTTAGGAACGCCCCTTTCTTTAGATTGCTGGCAACATACTAGGTATACCAATACCACATGTATACACTATCCGTGCAGTCTGATCATGGTATTCACTTTGTTAATCAGTCAGTACTGATTTTGAAGATTTCCCTTTTAATGATAAACAATTTTGTCCCTATTTAGTGTATTAAAACCCTATTATTTCAATAATGATAATATGTAAAATCGATGTGGTTTAGTGGATGAAATACAACGTGTATTAGATACTGCACAATATTTCACAGTAGCATTAGCATAAACGTTTATTAAATGTTTATTAAAGTTGTAAATTTTTCTTCAAATGTCTCTTATTTACACAAAATCAATATCTTAACATACTGTTTATGGATACTTTTGACAAAAGTATTAAGAAAAATATGTCGCCAAAATATATTTAATAGTTTCTTTATGAAAAAATCCCCCCACCCAACACACACATTTTTACCGCAAGGCAATTGAGCTAAAAACTATATAACCAATCCACGAATATCAATTAAATTGGGGTATGATAATACGTTCAGTAATCCTATAGCAATTGACATATCCTTAAATCGTTCGAAACTACATTTTTTATACTGAAAGACAAATTTTGGAAGTTCCCGATGTCAATGTTTTCAAGGTGAAATTATTCCCTACTTTCGGTAAATAAAAGAAAACTAGGAAGTAATAAAAAGTACGTTTTAGCTCATGTTTAAGATAACAGAACTAAACTGAAACTAGATAAATTGTCTATCACAGTGCAAAATGTTGTGATAATATGTCTGACTGGTGTTTCATTTTCGGGGATTTTTGTTTTATTTAACAATGTAAAAAAATAGTTATGTTCTTTGAAGTATCCGGTATCAAAATATCAAACTCGTGGCCTGGAAATAAAACTTGTAAAGAAAAAAGATAATCTAACAATACATATGTCTGACCTGGAAATGAACACATTTTTAGAACTTAAACAGTTATTGTTTTACCTACATTCCATAATCTGCCAGGATAACCACAAAACATAAAACTGGATTATCCCTGTACATTGTTCTCATACCAACACTGTGAATACAACAAATCTATCATATTGTAAGATCTATATTTTACCTGTCGAACGGTTTACTAGTTTTACCGTGTTTGTATATAGTTCACAGAGGACAGGTAACAATACAATAACCCTCCTAGTGTCTTTGTTCAGCGTTTCGTGCTAACATATATATATTCTTTTATAACTTTTTTACCTATCAATTAGTGAATATAGATGTCTTTTATCTTTCTATTCGGGTTGGCGGTTTTCCGTTCGTGCCGGAAGAAATTCACAGAGGGACGTCCAAGTTCTTCCTTCACCATTTAAGCTGATAAGTCATCCTTTGGCCTTTAACTTAACACAATCAAACAAATGATAATGTTTCTACCGAGTTTATTGCCATATCTGACCAACTAAAATTGGATCATTCCTTCTTATACCCACGAAAGGGAATATTACCCACAGTTAGTCCTGTCGAAGTACTGTCGATATAATTATGCCAAATTGCAAATTACTTTGAACTTACATAGTATAAGGTAAAGCCTTTCCGTTTCCATTGATACTTAACATTGTTATAGATTAATCGATAAAGCCTCTGAAATAACCATTTTTGTTAGATTCTATATTTAGAATAAATACCAGATAGAACTGGATTCAACTAAATGTGGAGTTCTATTACGATAAATTTAAAAGTGCAAACTAAACAGTTTTTTGAAGTTTTCTGTATTGTTTGAACATCTGTCAATTTTCTCATTTATCTACGTCTTGCACTAAATGCCCTATGAATTCCCTCTAACTTCTTGCACGAACATGAATATCTTATACATTTCTTCTTAACATTTAAATGGTGGCTACTTTTCACGAAGTCGCCCTTATCGCCGGCTTACAAGACGAATTGGTCGGCCGAACCTAAACATTAAATCATGACGTTTAAGTTGTCACTAGATGTCCTAAAATCATACGATACGTTTGTCTTCTTCTTACAAATATATTTGACTAATTCTGATCATTAAAACATGACCGTATAAGATCATAATTTTCTATATTTAAACATGAAATCGTTTGTACCCAACTTTATGTTAAATTGTAGATCAACATAAAATTAATCATGCCATGTTTGACATACTTTTCACAAATGGAGTTATTTTATACTTACAGACTTAAATCAGTCGTTAGTTGTTTTCTATTTTTAGTTGTGATATTTAAACTATTCAACCTATTTGATTCATTATTCGTATACATCAATAAACCTTGGCGATTCTCCAACTTCAACAAAAGCCCAATTAAACAATTTTCCATACCTTTTGTTGAAACATTTCAAATATTCATTCTCTATATTCGTTATTTATTCTGTAAGCTATATCGATTTTTCGGCACAGTTTAATGATCAAAGGGAATGCATACATAGTTTAATTCACCACAACTATGGACTTTCTATATATTTCTTAATAACAATTTTGTATTTGAAGTATGTTATTTGAAGTATGTAAAAGACTTTAAAAAAAATATTAAAAATGGATTATTTCATAATCTGTTCTAATGCGCCTAAAAAACTTAAAATTGTTTACGCTTTTATTGTTTTTGTTTGTATGTAATGAACGACCAAAATCAAGTAAACAATCTATTTATGTGATTTTAACTAATGAACATTTTTTTCAGAGGTTCGATATGATTAATAATATTACGTAACTTAATATTTTGATTCGGTCGATTTTAAAGGGATGGAGAAAAAATAAAAGTACACTCAAATGTAACCAAACTGCTAGGGCAGGCCTATTTGGGCGTCGAACTGGATTTGTAGAATAAAGAACTTCAAAGGAGTGATTGAATAATGCCAATTTGTCCCGACATGTAATACCATAATGAACTTACCTATTTATAAAAAAGAAATATAAAATTCGACGGTATCAAACTGGTTTTAATTTTCGAACCCTACATTTATATAATTAAAAACATTTTGTTGTGTTAACTGGTAAAATAATTATTGTTGTAATATAAAACAAACGACAATTCATTCAATGTTAAAATATTTTACTGATAAATTCATAAACAACAACAGCACATGATATGAATAATGTATGAATATTTCTTTCTTTCTTCTCTTCCTCCCCTCCTTCCTTCCTTTCTTTCTTTCTTTCTTTCTTTCTTACCGCTCCTAATCGCTCACACCTCAATCGTAATTAAAAATATCTGAGTCTAGGGTCAGTTATACACCACCGGTCTAACTGACCGGATGATAAATCAAGAATAGTGAAGCTTATGTGGTCTAGTGCAAGTTATACCGAAAACAAACAGAATTGGTATGTGCTGGTACGACCAGTTGTAGTCCGGTCAATCGGTGCAAGTGATCTAAGCTTGTTATCGATAATTCTATGATTAAACACGTGATATTTATCAAAATAATTTTAAAAATTTTAAATCTATTTACGAACTGATCCGAAAGCACCGACCGACGATACCTAAAGGATAGGTGTTATCTAAAGTATGGTTCTTACGGTGTTATCTTAAGGATTGCTCTTTTTATATTTATAAAATGATGAAATATCTAATCTAAAACATATAAATTTTAATCACGGCGTCCTAGATTTTCGCATATTAAACATCAAATTTAGAGTGACATCATGCGTATGTAGAGATATTTCAATTAATCTAGCGCGGAGTAATACATTGTATATAAAGAATTTTAAACTTTCAAATGGCCGTTAACAACCGTTTACGAATGTAAACAAACCATAGCTTATTGGATATACAAGTATGTACATACATCTGAAGTTTAAACCACGACTAGACATTTAAATGATGTTGCCTATTTTAGGAAGTTTTGATCGTGACTAATAAATCGGTGAAGCTTATCATCGTATGTACCAACTTACAAATCACGCACCCAGCTAGTGATAAAAAGTTATGCAATGTTTAATATCAATTTTCAGCAGAATATTAAATGCAATAAAAACGGATGTTATGAAATCATAAATAACGTTGCATGAAATATTCGTGAAATTTAATTTTAAATTATCATTCATAATACTGATATTTTGACAAAATCCATGTTATACCTATGATAAAAATCCTCTGACACTTTCTTACATACCTAAAAACACCACGCAAGATGAAGCTTTTCTTTCATTAAGAGACCTTACAGACTTACTTACATATACATTTGTCTGACCATATTATGTCAATCTGACAACATTGTATAAGACATTTAAGCGGAAAAAAATATCTCTAAAATAATTTCGTTAACTCTATATCTATTGTCTTTAGCCACAGTAAGAACAGTTTACACATAACCTACCACCACAGTTCGGTGGAAAAAGTTGCGCCTGCCTTAGAGGCCTTTCGTTATTCTAACCCTAATAATGTTAATAAAATGTTATATTATCTAACTTAGTGTCTGTTCTATTCTGTTCCGATCTAATCTGGCAAAAATAATGGATCCTCTGTGATATACAAACATGTATCTTCTATATGAACTTCAAAAGACCAAAATGGATAAAAATGTAGATAAAGTACCAAATCACATCCAATATTGATAAGAAAATCCTTAAAACAAATTAAGTTTAGATATATGGTTTACATACACATGAACTGTGATCAAGTATGCCCAGAGGAAAATACTTGTGGTTTATTGTAGATAAAACCTAGACAGCAAAACAAACAGACATTACATTAACTCTATAAATATACACGAAACACTTTTTTTCCAAGAATTGAAACTAGACTCTTGGTTCAAGATGGCGATGTAATAAATAAATTACGTAATGAAGTGATAACAAATCCTTATATTTGATTCTTATGATAACATTTTCAAAACAATCAATTTATTTGTTGAAAAGGAAAAACATACTTAGGCTTTTAGGGCCGAGTGTATTTATCATGTACAATGTACTTTACTAAACAATGGTAGCATGTATGTAATGTCATTTATGTGTTTTGTACTTATAACAATATACAATATATATATATTATGAAATTATACTGAAATGATAAATGATAAACAAATGGGGAAAAGTTAGTTTGAAATGCGTTTTCTGGTAACATTTACTGCTACATGTATACAAGCAGTATCACTATATCAAGCATAATATTGTCAAGTTAAATGTCTGATCAAATATGAAGTTTTTTTCTTTGATCAATATTGGCATGGAACATCTCAAAACATTTTTTTTTTTTCATTTTTTTTATTTTTGCTTTTTTTATACTTTTTAAAATTTCTACATAACACATTTTTAAAAATAATTTTATAGTTTTTTGTTGTTTTTTTTGTTTTGTTTTTCTACAATGTTTTCTTCAGCTAACTGGAACTTCCGTAACCAGTATTAATGTTTAAGCTCTTCTATTAAGCACTTTATGAGTTTGTATTGCACTGGCCATAGATTCTCACGTGTCATTTATAGCACGTTAATTGTGGGGGTATCTCTCTGTTCTTTGAAGCAGAATCACCTCCTTGTATTCTTTACAACCCTCCTTTCTTGTTGTCCGTTCGAAAATCACTTCTAATCGTCCCAAATGTCTGTCTCCAATCCGAGCACATATACGATCACGCGGAAGAAGTGCACTTTCGAACAGTAGAATCCTGTCCTACCCGTATCGACTGACCTATTCACAATATACTACGAATTTTAAAATAGATCTAAATTTGAAATACAGCAAGTGTAGGCTAATCTAGCATTCATGCCTTGTTGATTATGAGCGCACCGAGCGCAAAAGCTCCGAGGGCACCACCGATGAGAACAGATCCCCATCCATTTGTTTTTTCTTCTGGTTTCTTGATGCCATTCGTGTAAAAATCTATAAGTCCTCTCTGAAAATACATAAAAATTACAATAATTATTAAGTTCCAAAACGCACAAGGGACAAAATAAAGAAGGTATGGTAACATAGTGAAAAGTTGAACTTTGAAAAACAATTATCTCGGCTCATCTCACATCTAGAAGAAAATGTAAGGTGACTTCATTATTGGTTAGATATTAGACCGCCGTACTAAAGGGTCAGGGTACTTTAACCATGAATAATAATGCTTTGATAATAACATAATAATAAACGGCGATTTTTAGGGTGGAGAACGTAATAGTTATTTAATATAAAGGGACCTTATACTGTCAAACAAGTTTATAAGTGGGTAACATACGTCATCAATAAGTACTTCGAGTCAGATAATTATAACAATGCTTTTGTTTTTAATCGCTTGTCAGTAATAATTAGTACTACCATGTCGATAAAGGTTATCAATTAGGATTCGATCTGAGTTCAAACTAAATAAGTTAATAATCAAATATCATCGCCTTCTTGTATCATACTGAACCCCTCGCCAATAACAAATAATCATTATCCGAATGAAGACGGAAAAGCACGAAAAGTCGCAATTGTATCATTGAATCATTTGATGCTATTGTCTAATTGTCTTTTGCCTTAAAAGGAAACAATTTAACAGTTTAATAATAACTAAGCATTTCTTGTGACTCATTTTTTTTCTTCCTCTTTGATGTTTAAACTTAGGCCACAACTATTAAAATGAAATTCGAGTAATTTTAATCTTTCGTTTCCGTTTTCCTTGTATTTCTTTCCTTTCATCGTTAATAAGTTTCTCAGAGAATTATATTTCAGAATCTAGATCCGTGGTTTCAGTCTGACGTTCAATGTTAGATTATAGTGTTTTAAACATAAGACTTATAAATACATTATGGAAACTATTATCTTATTAAGTAATGATTTCCGTAACTGATATTATAATTATCGAAAGAACTTATATACCCTTTAAAGTTTTCATTATCATGTTTTGGATAATGGTTTCAACATTTTTTCCCCTTTCTGAACATGCGATACACGTGTCGTGCACAAGTGTTCCAGTTACATGCACAAGTGTTCCAGTTACGGGTAAACGCTTAGCTAATGCTTAAATTATTCTTTTTAAAGTCTTAAGAATTCTTTAGTGACCTAGATATTTTTATTTTATCAGATAATAGTCTCCGTTGGTCGCTTAAATTACATTAAAATATGTAAAGTAACAATTAAAGCGTGAATGACTTAACTTTAAATGACTATATAATGACATAATTCGTTAGTACCCTAAAAGCTACTTTTATTAAATCACTGCCATATAGTCTAGATCATCTGTCAATCAAAAATAAAACTATTCTATTTCGGCAAATATTTTAGTGACATTGAAGAGGAATTTCTGACATCGAAACCAAATATTTTTGCCACGCAATTAAAGGAAAATTTTTACTTTATATTTTTCCCTGTGAAGTTAAAATATACATACATGCTGTGATAAAATCTCGATAAATAAGAAATCTTTCTCTTTCGTCTTTACGCTTTTTATAGTTATACAAAATAATGCTTTCAATGTGAAATAAACATACAGTCACTGATAACAATGAGACATATAGAGGACTTAAATTATTTCATATCTGGGATATATTGTGTTCCAGTTCAGATCAACAAAAAACTGTTTACTCGTTTACAATACATTATCTTTTCATGACAGCATGGCAGAAATAAATACTAGAATTCGAGAAGAATGATGAAATCTGTGTTAAATTATTATCTTGACCTAGCAAGCATGCGTCTGCAGCATGGCATTATTTCACAACAATATTGATTAATTAAATAGGCCTCTGAGTAGATCTTTATCAATAATATTCCGTTATTACTCTAGATAGTCTTACACTGGACCAATTCATCGCAATTGTACTGTGTTAATCAAAACAAGGAAACGATCTCAAACTTGGGAATACTGATTATGAGTTTTAAGAATGACATGTTAGCTTGTTGTTCGTGTTACTATCAATCCTATTTATGCTTGATCTACAGCGACTGAAAATATACATGTTGATCACTGTAAGAATGTGATACAAAGAGAAGATAAAAATTACAACTGAGTGTTACTTTGAACAAAAACAGCCACGTTTAAGCTTATATTTCAGATGTTTTAGTTAACTTTAACTACTCACCCATCCATTATTTTCATTTATCCAGTTTTCTACTTTACTGTCCATGAACTGGCAAGTCCACTCTCGGATCCAGTCAACCCTCTCTTTCTGGTTCTTTTTCATGCAGTACACTGACATAGCACCCGCAAATGAAAATATTGCAACAACCCTACCCCAATGAAGTCCGTTGACAATTAATTGGTCCAAAACAGCTACATAATTTGCAGAATTTAATTCAACTTGCGAGCAAGTTTCGCACATTTCGGTAAACTGCGACTCGTACCGTTTCTCAAACTCGCTGCACAGTTTCTTCACAGTGTCTATTACTTTGTTATTAGGGCAGTTCCTTGTTGGCGAAACTTGGTAATCAAATCCAGCTTGTTGTACTTTATAAGTAATATATTCCGCCACTATTCCACTAGTACCGATCGAAAAGTCATCCTCATCCATCCTCATATCTTTCTGTTAATTTAAAAAACAAACTTAAACTAAAAACTAAACAAATTTAAGCGAGATACTAGACGCGAACCGTGTTTGCCTTCAAGCGATAATCGACAGATTGACGTGAAACTCGTACCGGCTGCGCACTAGTTCGGTAAACTTCGAAATTTTCCGTGGATCTATTTTTAGATATCCAATGAACGTTTAATCCCACTTTATAAAAATTAACAGCTGAACTGTTCAGAATAACCCACGTCTAGAAATATTTCAAAGGAACCTGTTTTACACAGGTAATTTACTAAGAGAACTACAGTAGAATTCCGAGTTTTACTTGTTATGTAACTTACGGAAATCTCTCGAAAAACTTACGATATCGTCTCATTAACATAATGTAAACAAACTATTTACCAAATAATCAACTGTGTCAAGGGTAAATATGAGTCACCCACCGTCTGCTACAAGAATTGAACTATTAACAGTTGTTCGACAAAATGATATTTTACACGTAAAACATATTATTGTTATTTTCAAAATATGAGAATATGATTGCCAAGACAGAAGCTGTAATTTAACGAGCATTTTTTTAAAGCTGTCCTGTATGACAGTCATTAATACCGGTTGTATTCCTGAGAATGATCTCTTGTGTTACTTTTAAATTTTTAAGGATTTCAGCTAACAAATTTGAGAGTGCAACTTAAATAGTAAAAAAATTAACTTTATTACATTACTGAGACATGTTACTAATCAGTGTATTTATAAGGATTTAGTGTAGTATTTTAGTGTAATTAGGTGGTAGTATTTTAAAACTTTTTTCATCGTGATCGCTGGAAAGAATAAACAAACTTATGATTTGAGACTGATTCCTCAGGTTTTTTTTCTTAAAGCAAAAACAATTTTAAAATTTTTTTCTTATTTTTTTCTTTTCAGTGATGTGAAATAATTTCATCCAGTAAATGATTTTATTATAGGTTAATAATCTGTTACTGATATTTCTGGGAATGTTTATGATAATGGTTTAAAGTAAGAGAACATTGCTATAATGTGTTGAAAGTTCAATATTTATAAAGCAATGTTACCAGAAATTCCATTAGCAATATTTTCAATACATTGAATGAGAAGAGAGGTAACTGGAAATCTTGCAGTATGAGCTTAATAGTTGCCTTCCTTCCACTGTCTCTTGTAATTCAGAATGAAATGGCCGTACACAAACAACTTTTATCTTGTAAAATTATGTAATTGAATTATATATATAATTATATATTTCCACCAAGTGTTATTATATACTTGAAAGTGAACAAAAATGACAACCTGTAGAAGAGCCTCTTTCAACAGAAAATAGGGTGAGGCTGAGAATTATATGTTCTCTTAATTTTGAGATTGAATATCTTATATTACAGTCACAGATATTAAGGAAACCATGGGAATTTTAGAAATTTGATGTCTTCAAGAAGTAAAATGTGTGCCTTAAAAAACGCAAACATATGCTAAAAACTAGTATGGAAGTAGTGAGAGTTGTTAACGTTTACTCAAGATTGTGTTCACATATATATTCTTCCTAGAACCAAACCATTCTTGTAAAGCTACAGTCATGACAAGTTCAACACACAAGTAATGGTTTGTAGATAAACATTGATAATGGTAAAATAATGCATTAATACGCATTTGACCATCAATAAACCTGAACATAAATTAGAGTATTTGTAAAATGTCACGCATTTTTTCCAATATATTACGATGGCTATGTAGATGGCGAAACAAAGCAATATACAATCCCATGTGTTGAAATCACTGTTAATATTATCTTTCTTTACTAGTTTACATCAGCATGGCGGTAGGGCAAATATATTACTGTGTATTTAGGACAAGGCAAAAGGGGACATAACTAGTACGATAATATTTAATTTATATATTCATGAGTTGTCTCGCTTTCTACGATCAAAAACCCCTACGACATTATATATTTAACTCTATTTCAGAATTTTGTAGGCCTGACTATAAATGAGTCAAAAACCCGAAATAATCGTGTCGAACTGGACGTTGGTTATATAATGATTCGCCTGTAAATATAACATCTTGTTACAGAGATAATTAGAACACACCTACTACGATGGTGCTTTATTTAACTACTCGTAAAGCATACATAGTCTAATCAATAATAATAATAATAAAATATTGTATATAAAATGTTATATAACGAGAACTGTCAGTTGGACAACTCGCACAGCTATTCGTAAAGCAGGAGCATGGAAAACGTATGAATTAACAGAGGAAGATTTCATTCATTCCAAAAAAAAGTTATGAATATTGGATATTGACAAAATATTTTAAGTTCAGAAAGGGACATAATTATTTCATTTGAAATCCATGCCCACAGTTAAAGGGTTGGAATGTGACCTTCCATTAAAATTTCGAGAACATGAATCAAGTTTTAAGAGAATACCATCAATAGCTAGATAACAAAATTTCTAAACATAAATTATGTTGAATAAATCTTTTCTTAGCATAATAATTATGGCATAGATGGTATTAAACCTCTACAAATGTGGTAACTTACAAATAACTTCTTTCTTTCTTGGGTTTTACATTGCAACAATACTGTAAATGTAATAATTTATGGCAACTTCTAAGCTGTACTGGAGGAGGATGTTCTCGGGTGCCCCTCCTTGTATTATTTCACGTACAAATAGGAACCATTTAATTGATGTTCTGTAAGCAAGTTGAATGGCAGAGGGGTGCTGTTACATGTGATTCACATCTCGATAAAGGCTAATTGTCATATTGGCTGAACTGACTGTGGGCAATGAAACAATATACAAGGTTTGTCTGTTCTAGTTCAAGACTGTTCTTGGAAAGAATGAGAGTTTGTAGAAGACTGTATTATTAGCGGTATTTTACATCATGACGAGCCTACAGTCAATACCACGATGATCTAGCAAGTAGGCGCCATTTAAGTGACAATAGAATCTTGGTATTTATCGCCCGATGTTAAATCGCATAGTATGGGTCCATAGTCTTATTTGATGTTCTTGCAAATTCAATTGACCTTGAAACTATCTCAGCATAAGTATGTGATTGGTTGTTTTGTGGTCAAGTTGAACGTTCACGCAATTCTATTTTTCAAATTGAAAAAGTTTGAAAATCCCTGTAAATTCCCGGACTTGTTCCATAAATTGAGGTCTGACCTGTCAATCAAATTCATCACATTTTGGTCAAATGTTCAAAATAATATCCAATACATATCTCCATATCAATAATTACCTTTAGTTCGCACAGTTTTAAAATAATGCATTTATCTGTGATCTTCATTATACAAATGTATCAAAATAATTGCAAGATTTCAGAATAAATGTGCTCTGTTTTTTCTGGTACACATCAGTAAATCGGTCATGGTCAAATGTCCTTCGTTTGTAGCCAAATATCAATAAAAGTTTAAATCAGGATTTGTCTGAATGTTAAGCATCGGTCTGTAGTGAGATTTCGTAAAATTTCTGTTTTTGATTCCGTTTAGTGTACACATTGCATGTTTTGGACACACCAGGACCCGGGACAGAAAGAATATCTCTTTGAAGACTGCATAGAAATCCAAATCAAAATGGGTAATATAGAGGAGAGTCAGGAGGGTAGAATCACATTTCGATTTTCGTAAAAAAAGGATTGAATTTTATATCTGTTTAAAAAAGTTGAAAACTTAACAACATTTAACATTTGGGCTAGGTTTTAAAGTCTCATCCCAAAGACTTGTCATCATTATGAATTTAAAGATAATTTAAGGCGCAGATGATCATGCAATTCAATGGTAGGAAAAAAATACAACATGTACAAGCCATGGAAACAATATTACTTTTATTAAATCAGAAAAAACAATATGTAACTTATACAAAACAAAGAATAAAATAAAGGAATAATAACATTGGTCTTGTCTAAAACAACACAGTAAAAGATTTATGGCCAATCATTTAAATACAAGTTACTGGTAAAATATTAAACTTTACTTAAAAGTCATATTAATAGTAATCCATACAATATTTGTAGACAAAATGTGGTTTTAATATCAATATTTTCTATATACTAGTTGCTGCCATTGTTTCTAATATATCAGTAATCTCTTCTGCTGTATCAACCTATCCGGTCATTATGTTTCATATAACAATCGTCACTGCTCATGAAACAATTCAATAACTGCAATTCAATCAAGTTACAAATTTCTATTCAACCTAGATTCTGAAGAAAAAACCCTCATATAATTTATAATGTATGTTTAAACCACTTTAAATGAGTAATAGAAGCAGATGAATTTTATACCCACAAATAAGCAATTAATGATACATATTAATAACTGTAGTCACAGTGTAATTAGAGAAACCTTTTAAATAATGTATGCAATGACATTACTTGGCAATTGAATAAAAAAAAATTTCAACATTAAATAAGGCTTAATTACAGAAACATAATTTTTGTTATGGACATGCATTGCAATTCCTATAATTTTTTTATAACTTGTACATGTTTCATATGATTTCTTTGACACAACCTGAGTAAATGTAATCCTCAATTATAACAATTTCAAAACAAAAATCATTCAAGACTTATTATTATCAATCGCATACAGTAAATGAATGTTATGACCCTGCATTACATTCTCAAAACAATTCTTAACTAAACTCAAAATAAATATGAATTACAGAAACTGGTTAATCGTAATTGTCACAACATTACAATTACCAATTACAGAAACTGGTTAATTGTCATAATTACAATTGCAATTACAGAAATTGGTTTATTGTAATTACCACAATTGCCATTACAATTACAGAAACTGGTTAATTGTCACAATTGACATTACAATTACAGAAACTGGTTAATTGTAATTGTTGAAACATTATAACAATTACCATTACAATAAGTTTCTTTACAACAAAAATCAACAAACTGTTATGGCCAGAATGTCATAACAATAACTTAACTTAAATCATTACAGAAACTGCCTGACTATGATATATATCAAAACATCTACATAACAGTAAGTTATATTTCAATTAAATAATTACAATTTTCTCTAGCAGAAATCAACCAATATTTTACAAGTGTTATATATGGTATCTTTACCCTAAGTAAAACTATATAACTGAATTTGCGTAACTGATTTGCCAAGCTCTGAATTTTGAACAGTCTACTTGAACGTTTTTTAATTGACAATATCAAAACAAAGATTTAGCTACCAACAATAAGGAGCCTGGTCAGACTACATGTACATAAAGGCTTTTGTTACCAGCAGGTAAAGTGTTTTTTGAAAGTGTGGTTTCACACATC